CATTCAAGATGAAATGAAATGTGTTTTTTCTCTTTTTAAAAAGAAATAAAACTGTAATGAGCTTTTCCTCCCTCAGGGGTATCACACTGAAAATCAATGCACATACAGTATACAGAGGGTTTTTTTTTTTTTAAGAGTTGGGAACATGCAGATGAATATATACACAGTGAGATTTTGTTCTGTTCCCTACTAGTAATCTGAAAACCATGAGCTCTACCAGCTGAACAGATAATACAATACTCTCTCTTTTCTCTCATTGTAATTAATAACTAGCTAAGAAAATGAACAAAGACACAGCAAAACAGAGTGTAGCGTTTTGAGTCTAAAAACGGAATCTCTTTGAAGGAGTTTTGCCAGGTAGCCTTTGATACCAAAGAGGACTAAAAACATCAAGAAAAGGTTTTTAAAAGAATGACCATAAAGGCAAGAGAAGAAGTAGGACTGACTCTTGAATTCTGTTGCCCTAGGTGAACTTCAATGTGCACAATGTTCTAACCAGTCCTATATCTAACTATTTTAGTGGGTAATTTATTAAAGCATTAAGCTCTCTGATATATAATATTTTTTTAAAAACTCTTAGTATAGTTTCTTTGTGTTTGCATTTTTCTTCTCTCTTGTTTGTTTCCAAATTCTGTTTTTCTAGCTTCTGTATACCTCTGTGTACTTTGATTTCTCCCAATTTTATTTTCTATGTCCAGTGACTGTTTCCTCTGTCATTCCATCTAACTTCTTTTCCCTTATCTCAGTTTCTGTATTGTCTTCTCTACTGGCACCCTCATTTAAAAAAAAATTCCCTGCACCCCTGCATTTTCTCCCCTTTTTCCTGTGTTTTCCTTATCCATCCTTCCCTTTCGAAAGCAAAGGAAGTTCACTTCTGAGTCAGAACTGCAGAAGTAGGTCTCAAACATATAGTTCTGCCAAGCAAAGCCAATTAGAACTTACATCAGTGATGTGTGCAGTGATCGCAATATGGGAAAGCAAATCCAGAACTCCCTGAACAACGAGTGAATAATGTTATCCACTATTTTAAAAAACATCTGCTCTAATACAAAAGGTTTTCTCATCATCAGCATCCTTACCTAAAAGGGAGTTTTGTGCACTTTCAAAGAAGTATGAGATGCCTTTTTTAAATTTCTGAATGGTGGAAAGACACTTAGTTTATTACACTGTACACATAATACAAATGTGCAACATGTCTAGTGAATGTTGTTTACAAAGATAAGGTACAGAAGCCATATCAGGCTGTAATAAGTAGGTTTTTGGTGACAGACAAAAAGTCCACACTGTAGCTGCTGACTTCTTCAGCTCACATCCGACGCAGTTAGAGGCCTCAAATCAGAAGGAGCGTGGTGTGTGTGTGTGTGTGTGTGTGTGTGCTACCTACCCCAATAAAGGACAACTAACAACTTAAAATGCCTTGTTCAAAAAGTGTGAACTAGTGCCCTCCCCCCACAGTCTGGCACCTGAGGCGGCTGTCTCAGTTCACCTCATGGTAAGGCCAGCCCTGTACATATCTGAGCTTGTTAAGTTTCCCATTACAACTGACTGCTGATCACCACAATCTGTGACCACATACCATCAATATGTCATAGGAATCACTGTGATACACACTTCTGGTCATTGCTTTCAATGGATATTATCTGCCAGTTGCAGTAGAATTTATCAGGGGCTGCATTAGGGGAGATAACTCTTAGCAACTGCTTCTCTCTATCCATCCAGCTCTGAATGGAGCAAAGGGAATGCCGGCTGCTGGGTTGGCACCCAGCTCCAGCAGCAGTGGAAAGTGGGGGACTGGTTAGCCTGAGAGTAGGCTCCCATCTTGCATCCCAGCCTGTTGGGGTGTCCCACTAAGGGCAAATGGAAATTCTGGCACTCTCTACAGTGGTCTGAACTGAACTGCTCAGGTCTGGGCCTCTGGGCCCCTCCCCTCCCTGAATGGTTTCTGCTCCCTAAGGGCTTTGCTAGCCCTCTGCCCAGACAGCTCTTATCTTTTTGTCTATGACCTGGCAACAGGAAAGGACCTCAGAGGAGGCAGAGAAACAGCAAGGGGATTGTGGCATCATGGCAAGGAGGGGTGCAGCCCCACAATACAGTCAACATATGGAACTCCTTGCCAAAGGATGTTCTGAAGTAACAAGATTCAAAAGAGAGCTAGATAAATTCATGGCTATTATCCTTAGCCTCTGTCAGCAGCTGGGAATCAGTGACAAGGATGGATCACTTCATGATTACCTGTTCTGCTCATTCCCTCTGAGGCATCTAGTATTGGTCATTATCAGAAGACAGGATACTGGGCTAGATGAACCTTTGTTCTGACCCAGTATGGCTGTTTTATATTTTTAACACCCATGGTAGCTCAGCCAGCTAGTTGATGGAACTGGTAGAAACCTGATCAGGCCTGATGAATATTTCATCCATTGTTATTGTTAAACTTGATTTTATATAGATAGACAGACAGACCTCAGCAAAAATCATGCTTTTTCTTCCTACCCAATATCCATTATTTTCCCACTTGTGTGTGTGTGTGAACTTCTATTTCATGAGCCCTATCCTCAACTGGCATAATCTGATTTAACCTCAATGGAGCTAGGCCATTTTACACAAGCTGAGTTTCTGGCCCCATGACTCTCTCCATAAAATGTTTTCAGGTACGACAAGAAATACCCAGCTGCAGCATACTGCATTCTACACAGTTTAATCCCAAGGGACTTGCAATGAGCAATGGAAAGCTCTGAAACTATTATAAAATCATGTGTGATAATCTGAAATATTCCTCTCTCATTACTTCATTAGAGTGGGTTTTCTAGGATCATCAACATGTATGGAGGGACTGTTCGATCGTGGTCATGGCTCATAATGAACCTCTGATTAATTAAGTGATTCACACCTCCCCCAGCCTCAGAGTTCAAAGATGGAGCTCTGATGATCCCTTTTAAAGTTGTTTTGGCATGGAGGATCCATATCTTAACAACCATCTTTCCTGCCAGGAAGGACCAGAGGGGACTTCCCTATCATTACAGCTCCTTAATCTTCTCAGCCTCTTGCAGCCTGAGGCTCAAAAGACCATATCTGCTTTAAAAAAAATCCAGAGGAATTACGATCTATCTTGTCAGTGCCACTGCTGTGCTTGTATGCTAAGTCTGCACCCTGACAATCCTCATGAATTTTTTGTTAGAAGTGTGTCTATAGCCACTGCTTTTCTAAATGAACTAACTCCAAAGGTGCAAAGAATTCACTTCACTAGGCCCATGTATGTAGGCCTTATAAGAAATCCTGTTCTGAGATTTTTATAACTTAAGAAAAAACATCTGATCACATCACATTCAATGTCTTTGTTGTCTTACATCTTGTTAGAGCTTATTGGAGTTGTTGCCGGGACCTCACTTGTGGCTGCAGCTGGGGATTAGCTCTTTAGCAGTCACGGCACTTCTTAATGGCGTGGCCCTCTGGCCAGATTGTAATACAATTTTTTCCCATCCAGGATAACAAAGTCTCACCTGATCAGCTGTCCAGATGCCATTGCAAGCAGTCTTCCCCTTTAAGACTGTGACATTTTCCCAGGGGAATTCAGGCCTGCTCACTACTCCAAGCTCCAGCCGAGGAACTTTACGCCCAGAAACTGTGGCTCTGACCCTGTTACTGTTTCCCTGGCTCTTTTCTTTATGGACTGACCCACCACTAGGTTTAGCACTGGAGCTTCCCAGGGCCTCAAGGCTACTTCTCCTTTCCAGTTTCTGGCCAGGGTATTGGGTCCAGGCAGGATTCTAGCGCTTATTTTCTGCCTAGAACTCCTCCTTGAACCTAACTGACTCTTAGAGAGTAACTGCTGAGCTTCTCCCCAAAGTCCTTTTCCTACTGTCAATTTTCTCTATATATATTCCAGCTCCTCCCTCAGCTAGGTTTCACCAGTCTTTGAACATTATTAATCCTTGGCTCTCCTGCAGGTGCAGTCTATAAGATGAACTGGCCTATTTTACCTGTTCAGACTTTGTCTGGGGTAGGCAACCTCTCCCAGGAAGCATGTGAAGTGGAAGTAAGAAATGAGAGCATCTTGGAGGGGCCAGGAGAGGTTGCTAGGCTATACTAGCAGGTTGTTTGTAGTGATATTCAGGTCATATTAGAAGCTGAGAGAAGAGCAAGAAAACATTCAGTTGTTTTAGATGATTAATTGACCTTTGCCTTGTCAGGCTGACCATTCATATAAACTCCAGGAACCTCTTCTGTACGCCAGCCAGCATAGTTCAGAAAGTGAGTTGGCTAAGTTACCAGGGAGACTCACTGATTCCCTGTCAGTCTGGGGAGGATCCAGGAAGAATTCTTACAGTGACCCAGCCATCAATGAGTCATTTGCTTGTAGTAGATTTGTGACACAAAAGGATGGAGATGAAAGTGCAATGCTCTGCCCACCAGTGGGCAGGCCGGCACATCAGGGAGGAGGACAGGGAGCAACTGCCCTAGGACCCAGCAATTTAAAGGGCCCATGGCTGTTGCGGCTGCATCAGCAGTGGAAGCCCTGGGCCCTTTAAATCACTGCTGGAGCCCTCTGCAGCATGCTCTGGGTGACAGTGAGGGCTGGGGGTAGGGGCAGTGTGGCATGCTCTTGGTGGTGCCACCCCTTCTGGGAATGTGGAGCCGGTTCCCCCAACCTTAACATGGGCCTGGTGTGGCCATCAACTCATCTGCCAGAGGGAGTCAATCTCTGGCATCAATAGTACCAGTTCAACTGTGCAAAGTGTCACTTGACCAGGAGACAGAGAGTTATATAAAATCCAGTTACACATTTTCTTTGCTCATGCAATCTCGTCAGTATCCCCAGTCATGCACATGACAATACTCATTTGACTGAAAGACCCACATGCTACTTTTTAGCTTGGAAATAAACCAACCCCTAGGAAGGAGACATTTTATCTTTGAAAACAGCTTTGTCTGACAAACAAGCACAATTTGTCCAATGACAAAAAGCATTTGTGATTCAAGGAAGGCGTCTCATTTTCCCTTACCTTAGCAATCATCTCATGCAGGTTGAATGAGGGATCCAGCTCTTGAGTTACTGTGTGATGTGTAGGAAAGAGAGCTTCAAAGAGAAAGCTTGGACTCTGTGGAAAAGAGAAAAGAAACCTTTCAGGACTCGAAATGAATTTCCTTCGTCAGATGCTCATTGGATTTTGTTTCGAGATTCAAAGCACTGCATATTGTTTTACAATCTGTGCTAATTATTACTATTCATCTTACTGATTTGCATGACTCATTCCAAACTGCTGAAACAGACACTAAGGGCCTAGGTATATAACTGTTTCTGGAAGGATGGCTGTTCATAATTATATTTCCCAATACAATTGAGTCTTTTACCTCGAAGTAGAAGTCCCATACTGATTTCATTTTAAGCAAGCAATTTGACATTTCAGGTGATCAGTTATGTTTAGTCTTCAGAAGATATACATGTATGATACTCAGGATTATATATGACCTGTGTAAAAGTAATTTCATAAACACGCAGAATTTGTATGTGATGTGCATGTCTTTTTGTACAATAAGCAGGGAAAAGTCAGACTGACCCTGTCAAAAGCTCACATGAGCCAAGCACCTTATGGAGAGGGTTTGCCTCAGACAAACAAATTAACACTCGACTCAAGTTATCCACCTACAGCCACCCTCCTGAAGCCACTCTCCTGCAGTCCCTCCCACACCCCAAAACCTTGCTGTGGTCCTGAGTTCCCTTCAGCACCAAAACTCCCTCCTACTATTTGCCCCATACCTCTTCTCCCCAACTCCCTGATTCAATCCAGTGAAAGTGAGTGAGGTGCCCCATACCTCTTCCTTCTCTCCAACTCCCTGATTCAATCCAGTGAAAGTGAGTGAGGGTGGGGAAGAGTGAGCAACAAGGGTGGAGTGAGGGGGGAAGGGCTTCAGGGAAAGGGTGGGGCAGGTCTCGTCCTGTGGAAAGGAGCCGGGCAGTTACAGGACCTCAGAGAAGGGGAGGGACAAGGGTCATGCAAAGGTGTTTGGATTTGTATGATTAGACATTGAGGGTATGGCTAGACTACAACCTTTTTTCGGAAAAAAACTCCTTCAGAAGCCCCCCTATTCCTCAGGGAACAAGGAATACAGGGACTTCTGAAAGAGCGCATTTGTTCTTCCACAAAAAAAAGCAGAAGAGCAAACGCATTCCCTGGTCACGGAACAGTTTTTCTGGGAAAACTATGTAGTCTAGAAATACCCTTAGAGAGTGCATGCAGTGAAGTGGTGAAATAAAGCTTTAGTTGAAAACAATGTATACTGCTCTGAACCCTAACAGGATTGATTTGTTATACCTGCACTCACCAACCTTTATCACTTTCTTCTGATAACTGGGAGCATTTTCTGGTGCTTTTATTATTTAAAGTTTCAGGAAGAGAACTGGAGGAGGAGAAACTAGAGGCCTCGTTCTGGCTCATGCCCAATTTATACCCATGGCTGAGCCTTGCTTTTTCGAACAACAGGTTTTAGGGTTTGTGAAGGACAAGTAAAAATGGTATTTTGTCATGTTAAAAAAACCCAGGTCTACACTAAAGGGGAAAGTTAACTTAAGATATACAACTCCAGCTATATTAATTACGTAGCCTGAGTTGAAGTATCTTAAATCACGTTTTGGCGCCGTCCACACAGCAGGAAGTCAATGGAATCAAACATTCCTGTTGACTTCTCTTATTCCTTGTGAGAGCAGGACTTCCGGCACGGATGGGAGTATCCTCTCAGTTTGAATTAGCGTGTCTTCACTAGGCCTGCTAATTCAAACCCTGGAAGACCGACTGTGGTAGTGTCAATCTTCTCCGTAGTTTAAAATCCCCATGTGAATTATGTATACGCTGGTAGCTATCATGAAATCTGTAATATTCGTATTGAGACAAGGACAGTCAATGGCAGCGGAGGGTGGGCAGATAAAATTTGCCCCATCATTTGTAAGTCTATAACACTTTGAAGTTTGGAGGACAAACAGATATTGTATATATCTGCACTATTTATATTCTATATATCTGCAATAAATATATTCTATATTTCTAGCAATACATCAGTCACTGTTTCCCTTTCATCCTGGCATGACTGTTTCTGATTATGGTTTCCCACAAGTTCCAAAACTTTTGTAAAAAATAAAATGATGGTACTGGCACACAGATACATGACTGAACACAAAGATTTGGACATTCTATAATTTGTCATGGAAGTATCAAAATAATAAATGATGTAATATATTGCCTGACGTTATTTTTCCCTTCAGAGGAATATCACACTTTTTTGTAAGAGCTCAGACAAGACTACACATGAAGTCATTTATTATAAAGATACAACACAGATGTCAGGACTGATTCATAACACCTATTCGTCTTTATTTTAAATGTTTATACAGGAATTGGCCCACTTCAGTTATGGTGGGTAATCCATATAATGCAACAGCACTAATGTAGTTAATCATTATCCACACAACTACAATCAATTTATCAATAAATAGAACAAAATGCATTATTTATCCCCATTCTTGTGTACCTTATTAAAAGTAACTGAAAGAAACAATTACAATATTAGATTTGCCATACTAGGTATGATAATTGACCCTCCTAGTCCTTTAATCTGCTTCTAGACTTCAGACTTGATGCATTATATGCAGCTAACACAAATAAACCCCTCTGTAGTGAAGCTGTATTTGTGTATGCTGTATGCGATGTGTGTGTTTTTTAGACTCTGACCTCCCAATGAACCTCTATATATCCCCTTATCCTATGTACAGGCACTTTCTTCCAGAACATAAACTAGACAGTGACACTTATACATTCATAAACATGTTCCACTTGTTACCTGTGTTAGAATCTGCTGAATATGTGTCCCCAGGAATACACAACACCCATTATCCCAATGAATGTGACAATTAGTGCTAAGATATATGTAGGAGGAAAATTTCTTCCCACTTCTGCAGGCAAACAATTAACTCCATCAATCGCAAGGCTCATTTCTTAATCTCATTCTTGCCTTACATTTCTGCAGATATAAATTTGCAAATTACTCAGCTCAGCGGTTACACTCCAGAAAAACCACATTGTATTCTGCACCACCTGTAAAAGTGTGGCGAACACTCTGAAAGAGAAGACACCTTCTTTGTGTATATAACAAAGGAGCCACTGAAAGAATCAGTAAATATCTACAACCAAATAGATCACGATTGTCAAAAAATAGAATCCTAGATTTTGGCTCCTATGACACTTAAGTGGCTGATTTTCTGCAGCACCAAACACTCAACAGCACTCTGAAGTTAATCAGAGCGTCTTTGTACTCAGCAGATTTGTAAATCAGGCCACGGTTCGATGGACAGCCAATTCTAAGTTCCTTTTATTAAAAAAAAAAAAAAAAAAAAAAAAAAAAAAAACTTGTCCAAAGCTTTTATGCTAAAATCCATTTTGAGCAGAAATGTCCTTTTAACCCACAACAATTTTTATATGTAAAGAATCAATTTATTTCACAAATAAAAGAGCTGTGTAGAGCTTCCCAGCACTCCATTCAAAAGTACTTTACTGACTGTATTGTTGACTCCCCTGGGTGATTTTGCAATGCTAGCCCTTTAAACGAAAGGTGTGGCACTATTCACAGTTGCAAGCATTCTGAGGGCACACAAAATGGCAACCCAGCTAGGTACCTGGCATATGGTGATCATCATCATTAACCAACAAGCGAAGAGAAGCTGTGCACATTCCTGTTTGATGCCACGAGAACTTTGATCAGCAGCCATCGATCAAAGCTCTTCTTCTTTCAAATGGAATTACAGAAACATAATTTTCTGTCACATTACAGCTGATGCAGAGCAGCACATGACTTTATGATTGATGTAAGGGCTTCAAAACTTCACTGACATATGTCACCGCATTGGAAGCAGAACAGCTAGCTAGTGCAATATTTCTAAGGTGAAGAGTTAAAGTAAGCGATGTGAGGGCTGAGATGACAACACAGCTGCTAATTACTACGATACAGACCATATTCATGCGGGGAGGAGGGGACATTATCAGAAGCAGTCCAAGCCTGCCTGTATCAAAGTCCGAATCTGATTGGTTTCAGAACTCTGTCCCAATTACTCTTGTTACCACAAGGATCTGTCTTTGAGTTCTTCTTCCTTTTGCTAGTCACTCAATTGTCTTGGGTCACCTCTACACCATAACCCAGTACCCAAATTGCCACAGCTCTACAGCCAAAGGAGAAAGTTAAATCAAGTAATTCTACTGCTGTCTTTAATGGCAACTAAATCACTACCCGCCACTTTCAAAACTTGTGGAGGAGTGACTGGGGGCCTTATTACCCTTTTCCTCTAGGAAGTGACAGCACCTCCTGGGGAATCTCCTCACAGAGCTTACTCTGAGACTCAGTTAAGAGAGATTTTTTTGTTTTTGTGGCAAGAACCAGGCCTGTACAGTGGATCCTCAGTACACACCAAAGCACCCCAGGAGATGGTATTAGCTCCATTCACGTAGCTTCTCTAACTCCCACAGATAGTCTGGTTTCCTCAGTAATCATGTTGCCCTTACTTATTCCACCCTATGCTTGCATCCTCCCCACCCTTTGCTCAAAGGAAACTGCTGATCCCTGAGAGCATGTCAGCCGACGGTCAGGGCAGTGAGTGGTGTGTGTGTGTGCTATACACCCGAGACTTCAACTGCTGAGACCGGGGTCCCTTGCAGCGGGCTACCTGGAGGAGGTTGACGAGCGCCCCAATAAGTTTGCAGGGAGAGCTTATTACACTTCAGATTTTAGCTGCTAGAATCTGTGATTCCTTCGCAGCAGGCAGCCTGGGGGAGGCTGAGAAGTGCCCCAACGGATCTGCCACCTGGGAGTGACACAAATCCAAACGCCCAAGCTCTCCCTATATCTGTCCCTTAAGACCGGCTGAAGTTCTTTTAAATTGTGCCTGGTTCTGTTACAGCAACTGAAGGAGTCAGGTTAAAGCTTAAACAGTTACAGGTTTATTAAAGAAGCTTATAAATCATATGGTTACAATGGCTATTGCTCTATTTCTTAACTA